AGGCCCTGCCAGGCTTTCAGTCTGGCAACCGTTTTAGGGCCTGTAGGGCCTGAACTCGGTTGTCAGGCTGAAATGTCTCTGGGGCCTGTAAGCCCTAAGTTTTAGGCTTCAGTCTGGCAACCGTTTTAGGGCCTGTAGGGCCTGAATTCGGTTGTCAGGCTGAAATGTCTCCGGGGCCTGTAAGCCCTAAGTTTTAGGCTTTTAGGCTGACTGTCTGGGACGGGCCCTGTAGGGCCCGTGTGGCTACGCAGTATGCCACACCAGGGGTCCTTCGGCCAGATGGAAGGAAGCGTGGGTGAAAGTACTTGTTGTAATTCTTATTTTGACTTGCCGGTGGAATAGGAACCGGACTGACGCTCCCCAGAATAGAAGGAGCCAGGACCGTAAGGCCCTGCCCGTTTAAAAAAAAAAAACCGGACTGACGCTCCCCAGAATAGAAGGAGCCAGGACCGTAAGGCCCTGTTTTTGTTATAAAAAAAAAAAGAAAGAAAAAAAGAAAAAAAAGAACTAGGGCTCATTGAGCCTCATTCCAGTTTTTTTTTAGAGGTGGGGTGTGGCAACTGGACTTCCCCGTTCCTTCTGGAAATCCCACACAGTGGTGGACAGATTTACAAGAAGGGCATAACTGCCAGTAGTGCCATGCCCCACACTGTCTCGCAGAAGGCGCACTTCATATTTGACGAGTCCAGCCGACCACCAATATATGCTGAAGATTGGCATTGAGGTCTGCATGTCGGCAGTTATGGGTTAGGATGAAGATGCCTGTAGCTCTCTCGTTTTTTTCTTTTTGTTTTTTTTTCTGAATACGTACAGTGGCGCAAGGGGCCTCTCGTCATTACTCACCACATGCACAAAAGACATACCATATGACGGTGTATGGTCCCATGTTTTAGCAGAAGATTCATTCTAATGTTATACATTTGGTGAGTACCACTGAGTGGTGGAGCTAGGACCTGAGAATCACGTGGAGACACGAACAGGGTCTAGCTGAATTGGTGACCCATAACTCCCGAGCTACAGACCTGAACTCGCACCCACAGAATGTATTGGTGGTCTGCTCCCACCTCTCTCATATATGACGCGGCCATCCTGCTTGATGAAGCGACGGTACTCAATGCCTCCACAATGTCCAAGTGCATTGTCGGAGCCATTTGAGGTACCTGCAGGGGGGCCCGAATTGACGTAAAGTGGACCCTCAGCACACAGCGCACTGTGCACCGCCCCGCCCCGCCCTGCTTTGCGCACTGGTGCGCAGCAACTATGGTCTCGATCTATCCTGGCAGAGGTCCGTATTTTTATCCATATTGGTCTGGTGTCCAGGTTCACCGCTACCATGGGGTACATCTTAGCCCCATTGTCAATTTTATTTTTGTCTCGCGAGCTAGGCTACCAGCCGGGCCGCCCGGGTCACCTTGTTTTCCCGGGCGGCCCGGCCGTGCAAGGACCAGGAAAGGTCCCACCCCCCCCCCAAAAAAAAAACATGCACTGGCAACATGCGCCCACACAGAAAACTCAGAGATATGGCCTCTGGCTGGAAACTCGGCTCAAGTCAACTGTTACAACTGACGGCTATGGCCGCCGAACACTGTCTACGCCATCAGCCTCACTCTCCCTCACGTACACACTTACGAGGATCCACCCTAAATGTCCAGACCTCGCACACACAATCTGTACCCTCTGTTGATGTCAGCAGCTTGGCGGCTATGGCCTCCGTCGCCTTCCTCCTCTCAGCTATGTCCGCTCATCTTCCTCGGCCCGCTTCAGCTTCGGGCACCTGCAGACCACCTCCTGCACAAGTCGCACTAACAGCGCTTCCGCATGGCCCACAGGCGAATGAATGAATGGCTGAGCACTGCCTCTTTCTTTATACTGTTTCGCTGGTGGTCTGGCCTGCCACCGGTCCCAGACCCAAACGTGTCCAGCCCCGCCTGGTACTTGCTGACTAGACCAGGTAGGACTGGGACTGGGTACTGCTGACTGGACTAGATAGGACTGGGAGACTGCTGACTAGACTAGGTAGGCCTACACACTGACCCCTACAGTCCTGAAGAGTCAACCAGCGGCTTCTAGAAACTCCTAGCTGGCTAAACTGACCCTTCGCTAGGCCTTAGGGCCACTTCCCACTTGCTGACTCAGCTATGGCCGACTACCTTCTGGAAGGACCTAGACTAAGGGCTGGTAAAACCCTCAGAGCTACTAATCCTATAATCTACGGTTCAAGTCCACGCGACGCTAACTAAGTGCACAACACACAGACCTACGTTTTAAGGGACAGGTTGCGGGTTCAAGGCTGACATAGAAATACAGGGTCACTGTACAGGGTTACAGGGGAGGTCTAGGGATTGAGTCCTGATGTGTGTACTGAGTGAAACCGTTTCAGTACAAAGACTTGAAAAGAGAGAGCAAGGAAAGGCAAGGAGAAGGCAACCTCCGCCCGGCACTAGCCACCACAGGTGAGGGCGATCACGGTGAATCTCGGCCAAAACTTGTTTGCAAGTTGCAACACCATTCTGCACCATTTTTGTTTATTTTTTAATGTGGTCATTTTTTCTTGATCAATGCAGGTCATCCTTGCACAGGGGACATGCTTATCTTCTTTGTATCGTTCCACTTATCTTCTTTGTATCGTTCCAATTTTAACGGATGTCTAGGAGGACGTCCTTTTTTTTGGTGAATTCCTTACTGTTGTCGTTTTTTCAAATATTTTGGGCTGGGACTGCCCAGGATCCTGCACGGACTGCATGCAGCGGTGCCCGGCAGGGTGGGTACCCTGGCAACCCCCTCACCGCCCACTTGGGTGACACCTAGTGAATGCTAAGAATGTTATGTTTTCAACTCTTCCGTTTCTTTTGTTTTTTGGCAGGAGAAAAGAAAGCAAGCTGAAGAGGTGGTGGAGGCAAAGAGGTTGGAAATAGAACAAACAAGAGGGGAAACTAGTCTGCAAGAGAAGCGTGATGTCTTCAAGAAACAGCTAATGGAGGTAAGCGCACACAGAGTGGATGAAGTCCATCACCAGGGTGCAAACTCAGCCATTCAGAGGGCAAACTCAGCAGGGCAAACTCAGCAGTTCAATGTGTATGCTCAGTGCTCACCCTTTTAGAGTACAAACTCAGCTGTCTCGCTATTGGATCGTGGAACCAAATTATGCAGAGGCCACCAATATGGTTCAAACTCAGCCGTTCGGAGTCTGAACTCAGTGGTTCACATTCAAGCACACCTGTTTAGAGTGCCAACTTGACCATCCAGAGATTGGCGGTCATCACCATCTCACACAAGGGAGGAAAGGTGCTAGGTAGTGTGTGTAGCAACTCATAAGAGTCAGAGATTTGCCCCTGGTCATAGTTTACGCTTTCAGAGCCTCCAGGATTACAAATTTACAAGCCACCAACAGAAAGTGGTGGGGATTCCCCACTTCCCTGCACTGGGGGGTCACAGGGATGGAGATTGGCTTGCTGTTTTTACACTAAGATCGAGCTCGGTAATTTTTCTAGGAAGTTTGGGGGCATATGGAGGGAATGGGTCGGTGCTCTGACGGGATGGGAAGAAAGGGATGGAGAAATAATAGGGGTGACTGCTGCTTTGATGATGACGGGGGTTGGTCTTCCGTGCTCTTTTTCTTTCCGTGTTTTTTTTTTTTTGGTATTTTTTGGTAGAAGCCCGCTTTATTATGTGTGCTGGAAACGAGGTCCAGCGTCCCACAGCTGGGGGTCTTACATCTGGACTCTTCTGCGAGGTCTTATGTTCTGAGACAATCTGCTTCGGCATGTGTGCACCAGGATCAGAAGAAAATTGGATAGGCCCGCACCCAGTGACAGCGGGCTCTGCGCATCAGTATGTATGGTAGATCCTAGTCTATCATTGGCGGTGGTGGGTGCTGCTCATCAGTAGCTTTGGTGGATCATGTTCAGCTAGAGCACCTCCAATTGGTTTCATCTGCTTCTACAGTCGCGTTTGGGATAATAACCTAATAAGAATATCAAACTTTGTTTTTCAAGTTGACGCATCAACTCTGCATGGTATGAGCATCACATTTCTATTCCTCCCTTGTCTTTCGTCTTCCTCTTTTTATCACCTCCTCTTCATCGTGTGTGGATGCTGCCTTAAGCTAATTGATTAAGAGCATGAAAGATTGTTTGTGCAATCCCATCCACAGAATATAGCCTGTGACGTGGCAATCATGCAGCTATTTGTATGATTATTCGAATTTATTCCATCATGGTGAATGGAAATAAGAAATGAAGGAACAACGTTCCTATGCTGGGCATGTGGAGATGCAGCTACTATGGAGTGCTCGACCACTTGCAGACATGTGGCAATGTCTTTTCGCTACCGTCTTCACCCGAATAGAACGCCCGGTCATTATAGCCGTACCTGGACTGAAAATTGCACCAGATACGGCTATAATGACCGGGCGTTCTATTCGGGTGAAGACGGTAGTGGTCCCAAAGCCCAAGAAAAGAAGAGTCAAGCCCTTCTTGCATCCCAATTCCTGTTTTTTTTTTTGTTTTTGTTTTTTTTAATCCCAATTCCTGGTTTGTCTACACGAGTGTACTCTTTTTTGTTACTTTTTAACCAGGCAGATTACCATATAAAATAGGTAACTACTAACTTCTCAACCGCCTGTGATTTTTGTGAACATTCACCGGCCTCCATAGATTGTGGACTGTGCAGAGTGAACTTTTGCTGATGGTCCTCTTAAGGATACTCGGACTTCTCGTCGTAGTGGCTGTGGTGGAAGCTTAGTGCAGATGGCGCTAGGGGTAGAGAACGTCAATGAAGACAGTAGTAGGGGTATCTGGTTGATGATAGCTGAGTGAGGGTTGGTTGCTGGGGAAAGGTGGAGGTGGTGGAGCTAGCCCTTGTCGATGAAGGTTAGCAGAGCACATCTGCCGTGTTTTTACCTGGTTGCTTACTAGGCTGTGATGCTTGGGGATGACACTGCCGATCTTGGACTGTCTATTTTGGATTGTGTAATGAGATTTCTCTTGTTTCTCTTGAAGATGGCAACAGTGGGGAATTAATGTTTTGTCAATTTCGTCTTCGCTCTTGCGTGCATCTCGTTGTTGTGGGGATGGTCCGATGGAGTTCCCCTGCCGGTGAGCATGATATATATGTGCTGCTTTGCCCTCAGGTTCTCTTTTCCTTGAATGTGAAGGGTACAAGGAAAGCAGCTCATGTCCTTTGGGACGTCCATTAAAATTGGAACGATACAGAGGAGATTGGCATGGCCCCCGTGCAAGGATGACACGCACAAATCGAGAAACAAAAAAAAAGGAAAAAGGAAAGAGAAAGAAGGTAGAAGAGGAAAAGAAAAGGCAAAAAGAGAAGGAAAGCAACTCATGATGAAATGTCATTTTTGACCACTATCCCTTCGTTGCTACGTCTCAGGCGGCTCAAAAAGTGTCACGATTTACAAGTGACATTGAGAACAGGAAGAAGCGGATTGAGAACTTGAATCGCCAGATTGCGCATCAGGAGCAGAAAATCAGGAGAGTGAGGGAGCGGATGGTACAAGAGAGCCAGGTAATGTGCATTGAACTGGTTCAGCCATCTGCAGTTGCGAACAATCTCGTTATCATACTTTTTCTTTTTCTTTTTCAGAAGTTTTTCTTTGTTTTCTTTTTTTTTGTCTTTTTCCGTTTTGGTTGTTTTATGAAACTATACATTTCTAATAGCCTGATACATAGTAGCGGTTCGTCTTTTCTCAAAGAGCGATCACCTTGAGATATCAGCATTGAATTGACTGGCCCTGTTAATTCAGATTCGTTTTGGTCTGTTGATCTGCTTGCATCTGTATTTGAATTTTGAACTTCGGTCCCTCCCTTGTAGAAATGTTGTTATTGCCCTGCGGTAATATGAAGATTGAGGGTGCTACGGGGTGGGTTTATGCTGTCTCACTATTACCGAGCAGTATATGGGTGCCGGGTGTGGCGAAGCCCAGGTGTGTTTATTCCAATTCCTGTTGTCCAGATCACAACCCGTCCTCTCCCCCCCTTCTCCCCGGCCCTATCCTGTTCCGGTACACCTCCACGCCAGGCTTTCCCATCCCTCTTCCCCCATGGAGATCTCCCGCTGCGCTGATGAGTTGAGCCCACACAAGCAACCTATGCCAAGTTTTGTTTCCTGTCGGCTCCTCCACACTCACCTCTGTAGAATAAGGTCACGTGTGGTCTGTACATAGTTCCCAGTTTGTGGGTTTTTGGAACTTTCTGCTGATGTCGAGGTTCTGAATGCATTGATGCTCTGGGAATGGGAATATGTGGATGTGTGGTGTTTTACACTTTTTTTCAAGGTATGACTGGAGCTGGTGCAGCAAGCTGTGTTCTCTTCGATGCGACGCCGACTTTGACAGGAAATGGTTGCATTGTGGCTTTCCGTCAAAACTGATTGGCGGGTATCAAATCTTGCTGATGTGAGGAACAAGCCCTGAAGGGGCCCTATCAGACATCACATTGTTCTGGGCTAAGGCCCCCAGCAAGCCAAGTGCCCGCCCTAAGTGAAGGCGGGCCTGAATATTCGTCAAAGGCAAAATTTGACATTTCCATATGTGGGTATTCAGGCTCTTGCAGCACGCCAGTTGGTTGAGCAGACGCGTGAGCCTCACATTGGTGCATCATACAGTTGGCCCAGGCCTTGACAGTTGCGCCTGGGCATATATACACAAAGCAGGGCCTATACATTGGGAAGCAGGCTTTCGGCCTTGGCAAAAGCAGCAGTGCCAACTCACCTGCCTGGGAGCCCTGCACAGATGCAGCAAACAGCCCAAGTCCGGAGACTCAGGTCGTGCCTAACTGCAAAGGGGCCCAGACCCTCAACTGTAGTCTCGGGGCTGGGCGCAGGGTCTGGGACCCAACCGGAAGCTACTGGAAGCTTCCAGCCAGGCCACACGCAGCATCCAGGAGGCTGCCACTTCCACAAAAGGAAGAAGGCAGCCCAGGCCAGGCATTCTGGCCAGTGCTGGCATTGTGGAAGTGCTGCTGTGCTCTTGCTTGATGCTGCGCTGCTGCCAAGGGCGCTGACGGGGCGCGTAGAGGTGAAGTGGGGCGCTGCAGGGCAGCGGGGCGCAGGTTGCCATAGCCGGGCTGCTGGGCGCCAGGGGGTAATGCGGGCGATCAAGTGGTCTTCAGGGAAGGAGGCGAGCGTGGGGTAATCAAGCTCTGATTGAGGGTGACGAGATACGTACCTGGTGCATGAAGAGAGGTCGGCTATGGTGTTGACAGTCATGTACATTCGTCTTCGAGTGTCAAAGTGAGCCTGTTGAGTGAACCAGATGTAGGTAGGCTAGTCAGGTAAAGTAGGCAGGGCGCTGGGCGCCGGACAGAAAGGAGCGACTTTGGATACTGTGTTGGTGTGGCCTACTGGCTTGGACATTGGCTCATTACTTAATTGTATTGCTCTATATGGATGGATACTCGGTGCATATTGTACTCTCTGCTTGGATACGACTACCTTGACATCTGTGTGATTTCTCAACTTGGTTTTCTTTATATCGTTCACACTCATATTCCTTGCACTGACAGCCATCGAAACTTATTGAGAATAATGTGGTGACAGGCACGCACGTTGAGTGAACGAGCTTTCCTTTGACATTGTGCTTGGCCTTGCTATATTGTTGATGATGATTTTGCATTGGTGATAGTTTATCAGCAGTGTAATGCAGTGCTGAAGCTTTCCCTCTTGCACTCGGCCTTGTTTTTGTTGTACTTAGCGTGGCGTAATACTGAGTTGGTGGCAAATGTTTTACGTAGCTGGCCAAGAGCACACTATTGCATGCCCTCAAGCGAAGTGCAAGTTGGTAGAGACCTTAGTGCAGCTGAGGGATAATTATATGGCAGGCCAGTGTGCATAACACTGGCATGACTAGGAAGTCTGGGTTCATGATAGCTGAGCCGTGTTGCATCTCAGGTGAGAATTGTCCACGAAAATGGGACAAAAATTCACCAAAATGGAACAAAAATTCACAAAATCGGAAATGGGACAAAAATTCCTGCCTGATCTTTGTCAGTACCCTGACCCCATGTGTAGGTGAGAATTGTCCACGGAAATGGGACAAAAATTCAGAAAATCGGAAAATCCTAGGCTACCAAAGTGCCCTGGGGCCACTTGCCCGGCCGGGCCAAGAAAAAGTAAAAAAGAAGTAATTATTTTTTTACTTTATTTTTTATTTTAAATTTGGTAAAGAATTTCGATGTGACCTTGAGGCGAAAGTTGTTCAGTTCAGTTTTTTTTTTTGGATTTTCTTTCTTTATTAGTATTATTATTTTTTTTACTAGTGAAACGGTATTCACCTGTTTGCAGTAGCCGATGCAGATCCCAGGGCTCGATCCCTAGTCATCACCTTACCTGTGTACAGTATTTGTGTCGACCCCGAGAGTTGAACCCGTGACCTGTGTATTTGTAACAGTTGGTAGACTGTCGTAGGGTCCGTAGGTAGTAGGGGTTCGATCTGTAGACCTGTTGTGTAGGAGTCTTAGCAAGTACTAGAAGTCCTAACTTTAGCTCCTCCAAAAGGTCAAGGTTGTAGCTGCTACAGTCCAGAAGGGTCAAGGTCGTAGCTGCTACAGTATCGAAAGGCCAAGTCCACGGCCTTCCGGGAGGTCCGAGTAGTGGCCGTTCGAAGTTGCCCACGTTCAGGCTGAGGCAAGTGGGCAAGTGGTGGAGTCTACCCGTGCTAAGTCAGCAGTCCCAGTCCCAGTCAGTCCTAGTCCAGTCAAGCAAGTACTGCATTGGACTGTGTGCACTACGGGCAAGGGAAAGGGCCAGACCAACGAGCCACAGAAGTATAAATCAAAGGGCAGTGCCCAGCCATGCATTCATTCCTGCGTGAGCCATGCGGAAGCGCTGCCACAGCGACTTGTGCGAGGTGGTCTGCAGTGAGCCGGAAGACGAAGTGGGTGAGAGAGGAGTTTAGCCATAGCGATAGGTTAGCAGCGGCCATTGCCGCCATAGCTGTAGATAGTGTAGCGTGTGTGTGTGTGTGTGTACAGAGTATTGCGTGTGGGATATCCAGGGTGATCCTGTGTGTGCGAACAGAGAGTTGTACAGGCGCTCTGCCGCCATAGCCATTTGAAGTGAACTGTATCTGAGCTGCGTTCTTGGTTACCATATCTCTGAGTTCTGAGTGGGCGCTTGTCACCAGTTCTGATTGCACTAGGACCTTCCTCGGTCCTTGCACGGCCGGGCCGTCCAGGAAAATAGGGTGACCCGGGCGGCCCGGCTGGTAGCCTAGGGAACATCCCTTTTTTTTGGCAAGAAAATCTACAAACCACGAGAATGGTATCCGCCAGTTTCACTTGCAGATCCTTTCAGGTGCGTTTGAATTGTTTCTTCTTGGAGCTTTCGTCCTCATCCCCTTACTAGTATTAACAGAGCCATGGCTATGTTGAATTTGCAGGCTGAAACTTCCGAGCGGGAGAAGCGGATTGCGGAGAAACAGGCAAAAGTGGAGAATCTGACAGCAGAACTGAATCGGTATAGTACTATTTTCTACTTGTTGATATGCGATTGCCTTTCCCCCTAGTCCGCTGAAGGAAGAGTACGTCCAGTCGCTCATGACAGTGAAATGGCCTTGGGAGGGGACACACCTGCAGCTGTTGACAACAGGTCATGAGTTACGAATCCTGAATGGTACAAGAATAGAAGTCGCCAATGTGGCATGGACGAGAACCGAAAGTGTACAGGTTATGGGATCGAATCCTGAACTGTAAAAGTGGACTCTCCCTTTTAGACTTAGAAGTGGAACACGTCCAGGATTCGACAGCAGCACTCTGGAGGAGCGCTGCAGTAGTAGTAGTAGCGTTAGCAGTAGTCTTCAGCGCTGGGCGTTATTAGGAGCTAGAGTAGCGTTGGAGAGAGAGAGATGGTTCGCGGAGGCCAGGGAGACTTACCTGTGGCGCCATAGCTCCAGCTTCGTCTTCGATGTACCTGCAACAAGGCACCACCTTCACAGGTTAGTACCGGACTGAGAGAGAGAGAGAGTTCTTCTTCTTCCTCTTCTGAGTCCATCTCCCTCACCCTCTCGCTACCTAACTTCTCAGTACCTGCAGACTACGAGAGAGAGAGATTGGTGACGTTGGGACTTGACGGCATTGGATCCAGACTCGACATTGGAATTCAGACATTTGACGAGGGATTATTTGGGACCTGTGCCGAAGACTTGGTGTTGACGACATTCCCATCTTCCCCACTTCTTCGTCTGACCCCCCTCTTCTTCGTCTGTGTATGGTTGGGACTGGTGCATTCTTCCTGTGTGAGCGCCAGGCCCCTTCACACCATGGAATGATGATGATGTATGTTTGGGCTGCATTGCAACATTGATTGTTCGGATCATTGGTATTTAAGCCTTCCGCTGCGCTATCTTGTACTATGTGAGAGAGGTCGGTTCTTGTTCTGGTCTGCACCTTTACGGTATGCGACAAAAACACTATCCGAGTCTAACGACTGTGGTTGTGTCAGTCTAGCTACTGTCCTCTGATCTGGACCACCACGTAAAAGATAAGGGCTGTATTCTGCACTCTTGTTGCAGTCTTAGCTTCCCCTAAAGAGTTTGTCGAGAAATTATTCATAATTTCCTATGCTTTTTCCGGGTTGTTTTTCCATTGCTGTCGTTTGGTTTCTCCACAATCTGTGTTTGGATTAGTCCCTGTGCCTCGTGGGTTGTTATTTTCCATTTGTCTGTTGTTTTTTGGCATCTTGTTTTGCATACTATCCAAAGACTTCGCTCCTCTAAGAATTCTAATGTCTGAACGTGTTTCTTTCGGCAGCGGTCCACGACTGTTGAGCGTTGAGAATCACGCCTAGTGGTGGAGCCGATCTACCGTCTGAGAGGACATCGCCTTTGGTGCAGACTGCCCTCCGCCCATAACACGGGAGCCTTCGTGTCGAAGCAACGCTTCAGCCCACGTGCCACAGCTAAGCCATGTCTAGAGAACCTTGTGCAGAAAAGTGTTTGAAGCTGTGCCTAAGTCATCATCAGTGCTTGGACATCCAACTCGAACAGCCATTCGAAGCATAAAGCAATCCTGTAATCAAACAGGCGTACTCGATCATTGACGCTCACCCGTTAGTGTTTTCAGGGCACTTCTACCAGAGCTAGATCGCAAAAGACCAATATCAGGACAGACAATGCTATTTCAATATAGTCTTTTTGCCACCCATTCATGACCACAGCAAAAAACATGTTGATGTAGTGGACAACACTCCATGATCAAAAGTCCAACAAGCTTCATGTCGTCAATGGCGCTATACTCACATAACCAAACATACCTGCATGAACATGCGTACAACAAAATCAAACAGATAGGACAGAGAAGAGCCACTCCACAGTTCCATGCATGCATGAGCAATGGAGGAGATGAACCTACTAACCTGTCAAAAGGCAGAACAAATCCAATCCAAAACAGCGATCAATACGCAATCACCAATCCACACAGCCAGATCCCAGTAAATCAGTTTATAATTTTATAGTCCACTTCTATCAGCTGCCCAACGAAATCGCTCATCACTTGAGCCCACACAGCCCCACACACTTCTCCTCCTCTCACTCTCTCCCACTGATCAGGCTGAGAGCATCTCCCTTTCACATGTAAGTTATCAGGAACGCCTGAAGTCACCTTCAACCACCCACACAGCCGGCAACAAGTGCCATTGTACTGCAGGCAGAACCTCCAGTAATGATGTTGGCAATTCGGTCAGATTGACCCAGCACGCCGAAGCGGACCCTTGGCCAGCACAAGACCTCAATGGTCCAAGAGGACCACCTCGCCGCCTTGGCTACCATATGCCTAAGCTGGAGCACGGCCTATCTTAGGACAGCCTTTCCCCATGACAGTCAGGCATCAATTGGATCCGGCTGAGACGTTGAAGTGGACCCTAGGGCAGCCTGCAGGCGAGCATGAGTTCTCAACCGTCCAAGTGAACCTCCTCATGGATCGTACCACCGTCCTACTGCAAGTGCATGAGTACTTTGCTCCCCTCTGTGGCAGCCTCCCTTCTATGCAATTCACCTGGTGCTCACGCACTGCTCATGCATGGATGAGCGTACACCAAGCTCGTCCTTTGTCCAGAGTTATCGCGCCGCCGCATGGAGGAGGTGAATGGGTCGTTTGTTGGCTCACAAGCTGGAGCTCTGCAACACTGGGCCCTAGAAGTATCTAGGACAACCTCGTAACATCGCCGGTCTCCATGGACTTGACCTAGTAATACACTCAACTTGTTCTCATTGCCCGCCGTCTCCTCCAGTTTGCTTGCCCACACAACTTGTACACGTGGTCTGCAAATGGGCAATCATCTTTTATTTATACATGCATGCATGTTAGGCTGGGTTGCCTTCCCTTGCCAAGGCAGCAGCCTCGGCACTTGCAAATACCTGGCTGCTGGACCGTCATAGCGGTCTGATTGCAACATCGAACGGCTTGCGTCATCCCTCAATGCTTGGTGTGGTGCTGATTTCTGAGCAGGATAGATGTCTGCTGTTGGAGGTGATAGGAGCTTGGCTATGGTTTCTGAGTCAAAACCTTAGAGGAATATATGTCCTATGTTATGATGCACAGTCAAAATAGGGTATGATGATCTAAAGAAGGGCGCGGGGACTTCGTTCTTGAGTTTGGAAGACAGAAGTATGTTTTAATTTCTAAATGTCGATTTAGTCCGCAGTGCTAGCAGTCAACCAACGCTGTAGAGCTTTATACTTGGCTCCGGGCCAAGGTCCAGCACACTGGTACAGGTCTGGTTCTCTTCAGTTCGTTGCCTACAGGTTTATGGAACATTGAAGCCGGTGTGGATGTTATACGGCAAGAAAGAGTGGCATTAGGGAATCGGTAGTTGTCCGGACGTCAGTTAGGAGAGTTCTGTTCTGGATGCGGCCATGCATGGAATCAGCCTAACGAACTCATGTTCTGCTTGTATGTGTTCGCGGATGCATTCAAGGTTGATCACAGAAGAGAGAGCATGTGAAGAACGTATTCAGGATGTACAGGCTGCAATGGAGCCGGTAGCACTGGAGGTGAGGTGGATTAGATTCCGTTCTCCAAACTTGAATAGCTAATGGTTTCTTCGTATGCACCAACCTTTGACTTTGCATTTGTTGAAAGCATCAATCCTGCCCATATATGAAGCGTTATTCAGTGTTAACTTATACTGTGAAAAGAAGCTCCTGCACATTCTCGCACAGTAGACTGAAGCAGCAGTGGGAGAATGTACACAGCAACTGAATTTTCCTTTTCTTCCTACCTTCCTTCAACCTCCTCTGAGCTTTACTCCCCACAGTCATGATCATTGAGCACCGCCAAAGTTTCTTACCCGCCGAACATCAACAACCACGGATGTTCTGAATAACATAGCATAACAAACTCTCACATACAATCGTGTGTGCTTGTGTGTGCGTGCTCGCGTCTGCACATGTGTGCGTGCGTGTGCGCTTGCCTGGAGTCCGATGTTGTATACGTGAATTGACAGCTGGAGGAACACAGGAGTCGGATCAAAGATTACGAGGGAATGATCAGGCGAATGAGAGCCCAGCAAGAGAACAGGGTATGTTGTCTTCATTGCCCAGACATGTGTTCAGTGGATACTTCGCTGAGACAGTGGTTAGAGAGTGAGCACTTGTGCTTTTCTTATTTTGCCTACGGGCATTCAGTTCTTGGCAGGACGTTGGATATGAACAAAATATTCTTACTACTCTATTGCAAGGAGAGGTCTGAACACGGTGTCAATTGTCAGTTTTCAAGCAGGTAATTGCATGTTTGCCAGTCGTGCAATGGTGAAGGAAAGGTGTCATGGCAGTTGAGCCTTGATAAGTCTTACTAGAGCCGCATTAGATGACATTCGAAGCTCCAAAAAAAACTTGCAACATCACCATACGGATGTTGCAAAACCCCTGGAAGGTGGAAAGATGTCTATAATGAGTGGAGAGAATGGAGAGTTGAGTTTTCTTCATATTTGTTCAGCGGGAGAAGGCATAGATCTGAATGACGAAAGCTGATCATTTGGAGAACTGATGGTCAGCTGATTGAGGCTAGGGTATCCGAGAGAAAAGCAGCAGTGATGACAATGGAAAGGGAGAATAGTGAAGGTCAAGTCAAACCAGCTTAAGACGAGGTTGTGCGCATTACGGGATTAGAGTGCATGCTCCTACTGATATGGCAAGACAACGAAGTCGTGGACGAGAGGCGCTTGTACCCGAGCTCATATCTCTGTGTATGCCTTTTCTAAGGATGTACTGGACTCGGCAGTCATGGGGTGGGAACTTGAGGAAAGGAAAGGGCACGTTTTGCTTTGCATGCCAGTAACGCGGGTCTCGCGTGACGGTCTCGCCCGAGACCCAGTTCCCTGGTGTGGGACTCGTGGCAGGCCCAAGCGGACTGCGTGCCTGTTCGGTGAGGCCAAGGGGTCGAGTCGGGTTGCCTGCGGGTGGCCAACGGGCTCTTTTTTCGCTACCGTTTTTTTTCGCGCAGCACCGGGGGGGGGGTTGGTGTCGGCGCCACTTTATGAACGGGATCTTTTTCTTCCATGATGCGGTCAGCCATATTCAACCAGGTAGTGTATATTTCCATGTTCTAGCTGAAGATTCATTGGATGTTGCTCGTCCTATCGATGGAAGTAGGATGGCGCGAGCCGCGAGGTGGGATCGTCTCTCTCTCTCTCTCTCTCTCTCTCTCTCTCTCTCTCTCTCTCTCTCTCTCTCTCTCTCTCTCTCTCTCTCTCTC